AAACGTGATCCGCGTCCCTTCATTCCATCCTGCTTTTACAGTGAAGGTTAAAATTTTGTCCCTGATGCTGGATGTGTGTCCATCTTCATTCATGACCTATATCAAACACATCTCTGAAATTAATTTCTCATGAGTCCAAATTATGGTATTTGTACACCTGCATGCAGAATTTACCCTACGGGATATCTTAATTTTTTTAGTGCATCCATAATAAAGGTCCTCCAAGGCGAGGTGAAGGTCTCTCTCTATTGGTGGGTCCTGTAGCTTTTCTTTTTGTCCACGCAAGCTCTTAAGAGCTGTGTTGTCCTCACTGCCATCACTGGTGAAAAAATCTATGACACATATTACTAATAAGAGCTGGGATTCTTCAAAACACCCGGACATTATTAATTTAAGACTTAATTGCACCAGACTGTCTTTTGAAATCTACATTCATGAAATGATACAAGAAGCTCATTCATTGAAGAAACAGCAATACAGCTTTTTCATCCTAACCTGCAAAAGGATTATCTCCTCCAAAAAACTGTCTGAATGTTTCATCTACATTTCCATGGTACACATATCCTGATGACCAGGCGCCGTTCACTCCCAGCTCAGACGGGATCCCTCCTTTTAAACCCTCCTCTCCAAACTTATCATACGTGGCCTTTTTACGTGCTGCATTGGATAAAAAACAGAAACATAATGACCAGCTTACCAGGAAAAAACTGAGGGCTGAACTGTGTACTGTGTGACATTTGTAGGTCTGTCTGGGTGCTGTTTTCTTTAATACCATGGTACAGTGATAGTATGAGATAGTAATAGGCCTACTTTGCTGCTTTAATCCAAGTATATATGAAAAATAAATAATGAATTACGAAAAATATTTACATGGTACCTCCAAGAATACCATCCCGGCAAATGCGGAATGTTCCCCTTTTCGGTTCCATTTGGTTGTTTTGGGGAACCAAATCTTAACGTTCTAACATTCTTTTTATAACACAAACTTTTATGTGACAACAATAAGAACTTATACACAACGTTCTCTAACAGATATGTTAGGTTTTATTTTTATAACCATAAACTAACTTTGCCAGAACGTTCTAGGACTAGGAACCAAAAATGTTGGGAAACATTGCCGTTGTAATATCAAACCGTTTATAGTAAATATTGTAACGCTGTGTCGCATATTCAAGTGCTGTTGTGGGGTTGTTTTGTGTATTTTATTTTAGGTTTGTATTCTATAATTTGTCTTGTGAACTTACGGTCGCTCAGCACGTCAAACGCCTCCGCGAGCAGAGTGAAGCGCTCTGCGGCGCGCGCGTGGCTGCTGCTGCGCGGGTGATGCTTCAGCGCGAGTCGCCGGTAGCTGATACAAAAATAAAACGTCCTCAAAATGACAATAAACCATATTGTTTTCTGCTTTGAATGAAGTGTATACACATAATACTACTTAGAAACCAAACAAATAGTAACTTACGCCTTCTTTATGTCAGCATCAGTGGCGTTGCAGTTTATTTCCAAAACAGCGTAATAGTTTCTTCCCATGGCCTATTTATTTAACTCAATCTTTACACTTTAACCGTATTGATGCACAAATGCAAACCCGAATTTCCTAAGTAGGAATGAACATTGAGCTCTTTCTGTTAAGTTAGTTTACTGTTGTCAAAATGGTTGCTATGGATACGGAGCCTGGAACTCTGGGAAATGCGGTCTTTTATAACATTTCGGAATATTGTGATACTGCCAACAACAGTGATGTGATACAGCACAGTGACAGAGAGGATGAATTTAAACTAGTGCGGTCAAACGATTAATCGCGATTTATCGCATCCAAAATAAAAGTATTTGTTCACATAATGTGTGTGTGTACTGTGCATATTTATTATATATATATATATATATATGAAAACAAACACATGCATGTATATATTTAAGAAAAATATGTTATGTTTATATAATACAAATTCTATTAATATAAATATATACATGTAAATATTTTCAAATTATATACTGTATGTGTGTTTTTATATATACATAATAAATATACACAGTACACACACATATTATGTAAACAAAAGCTTTTATTTTGGATGAGATTAATCGTGATTAATCGTTTGACAGCACTAGTTTAAACACTCCTCAAATTACTGTTACTGCATTCAAAAGAAGACAACAATTACTAAATATGGAAAACATTCATGGGGTAGTTTACTGCTTCACAAATTCATTACAGCACACATGAGGTAGAAAACTGTCTGACACTTCTTATTTTACATGAAAAACATTTCAAAATTATTTATTAATTATTAATTTTTGCAAGAAGTCCCTCAAGCTCAGGTCTTGTCTTGAACCGGGCTTGAAAATCTGTTTCCATGTGCTGGAAAAAAAACAACCAAAAAAACTAATTAAGCCTAACAATTACCATAAAAGTTTATAGAAGTGTCAAATGCAGCCAGACAGATTTAAAATAAATATAAAAACAGTGTCAATAAGTGTAAGGTGTAATTTTCTGACCTGCTTTACACAGAATCGCACCCCCTCAGGCTGGTTCTTCAGAACAACGTCCATAAATATGGGAAAAAGTGTTACCTTCATTTCACTGATCTAAAAACACACCACCAATAAATCTGTTATAGCTACAGGACCCCTATATCAATTACATTCAATCATACAATTAATTCATATGACCAAACACAAACTCAAAGCATTCACCTGAACAACACGCTCATGAGTTTTCAGGACTTCATCTACATACATCTTAGTGCCTTGCTCCTGCATCACCATGACCTCTGTGCTTTTTGTAGGCAGGGCATAGCTTTCAAACATAAATGAGATCATTCATTTCACCACTACCTAATAATAATTAATAGGATGTAAAATTAAATTGATTAATAAAAATGATAAATTAATTAAAAATACAAGATTTTAAGAAAATGTCTTGGTTTTGTGCATAGGGATTTCCTAAATATGTTAGGAAAAAATCTCTCTCTGTCCCACCTTTCATCGACTTTGATGTCCAAATGATTGCAGAGACTGTGGATGTACTGAGAATAATGTTCCACTAGAGTCATGTCATAACCGGAAACACACACATTAAACACACCAAACTCTGTTGCCGCCGCCGCTTTGATCTGCTTCGCCTGAACTCTGTCCTTCTTCTTCTTTGGCTGAATAGAATTAATTTAGAAGAACTGGCAGTAAAAACATTTATACAGATAATGGAAAAACATTAGGTCTTACCAATGTTTTTGGAAGAAGATGTCTGTATTTTCCAATACCATGTGTGGGCATTGATCTATACTGTCTGTTAGTCAGTAATACACCTGTTTAGACACAAAAACATCACTTGATTACTGTCAGTTACCTATACTTGTACACACACGCATATATGAAAATTAAACATATAACAACAGATTCTCTTACCCAAAGGCATCTGTGTAGTTAACATTTGACTTCTGTGACATTAGAGATGAATTAACACTGATTAATTGTAAAACATCACCTTAATATACATGCAGATAGATAGATAGATAGATAGATAGATAGATAGATAGATAGGCTACATTATATCTATCTATCTAACAATAAAATTACACTTACTGAATCGATGATGCTGCACACACCAGCACCCGTGTGTTCTGTAACAATAAAACCTGAAACAAAAGAATTGCACAAACAAAAAAAAATGATTGTAAACACAGTAAACTTAAAAAAATATAACACTCATATCTGCTCTTCCTCTACGACCATGGCATATACCACTGCAAAACATCAACAACTAAATACTGCACCTTGTTCAGTAAAGTGTTCATTGTTTCACGCTAATATTTTAATTCAGCGGTAAAGTTTATAGATAAGTAGCCAAAACTCGTAAATATTACTCTGAGAGGCGCATGTACTCAATATGCGCCCGATCTTCTACACGGATTTCAGCAGGTGAATTAACGCTCGTTCGGCGCATTGCTGCCGCCTGCTGGAGCAGAACATGTTTCCATGATCTTGGTATCCTCCCCTCTATCCATATCTTATTAAATAACTCCAGTACTACTTTAAGAATACTATCATCTGCATGTTTGAGCGTCACATAGTTTGCGATTAAAATCAGTTTTATTTGTTTTAGCATTTTATGTTATTACTGTGCTTAGGAAAAAATTAATGTTGAAATATTAATTGGAAAAACAGAATTCACAAAATTGTCCTAATATTAACCTATTCTACACTAGGTACTTGAAATAATCATAAATAACCTCTAACAGAGAAATCAAGCATTAGTGTAATTTATCTTGTATTTGCATATAATTGTATTATATCTTAAAATTGGCAGCGACAGAGTAATTAAATCCTGGCAAACTCCCACTTTGCACAGTTCAAGGGTTAACGGAACGCGATGATGCAGGGCAGTGACGCTAGGAACGTGACGTGGCACTTGCAAAGCTCAATCTAACCTGTTTGGCGTCCCGCCTCGTTTCCATATATAGACAACATTCCGCTGGCTCAGTCCAGTACATACACAAACAACAATTTAATTTTCACAAGCAAATACGTTTTAAGAACTCAAAAACATAGATCACATTTGAATATGGATGCGAATTAAACAGTTCAGCGAGCCTGTTCAATTGACATGTTATAAAGAAAAGACATCACATGAAATGCTCAAAATAATAATAACTAAATTAATAAATAAATAATATATTAATAAATAGATAATAAATAACAATAAATAATAAATTATATGACTAATGGTATTGAGATAATATCTGAATAGTTTCATTGCGAAAAGACATCACATGAAATGCTCAAAATAATAATAACTAAATTAATAAATAAATAATATATTAATAAATAGATAATACATAACAATAAATAATAAATTACATGACTAATGGTATTGAGATAATATCTGAATAGTTTCATTGCGACCTAATTAATTATCCACTACTGTGTTATTAATTTGACAAGAACGACGTGTTGATTGGACGCATGTCTTTGTTTTCTCTCAAATTCTATAGGCTGAGCTGAGCTGTCAATCACGCCTCTGTGAGAGTGTCAAGTTAGGTTGCAGCGTAGAACTGGGCCTGTATATGTGGCTGAGAGTCTCAAATCGAACCGAATTAGAGGAACAGGGATAGTAGAGGCTTTATTTTCTTGTTTAGAGCATTTTAATAGTTATAACAACACATTCACACGCACGTTTGGCCCAGCGGAACCGGCAGCATGTCTGCAACAGGAGATTTCGGCAACCCGCTCCGCAAATTCAAGCTGGTGTTTCTGGGAGAACAGAGCGGTGAGTGTCGAACCGAACCTACTGGTCCTGTCTCTTTTTCTTTGTTTGTATATGTGACTCTTATCTGTGTGTGCATGTAACATTATAAGTGAACGTGTGTATCTTGAATTAATTTATTATATTGCAACGTGTGTGTGTCTGCGTGCGTGCGTGCGTGCGTGCGTGTGTTGGAATGTGTGTACATATTTGGCAATACCTTTGATAATATGCTTACAATTGTACTGAAACATGTCAAAAAACAACTTGTGATTACATTTTGAAGTCTTAACTATCATAAATCAGCCAAGGTTTTTCATTGAAATCCCGTAAATATCGGCTGTTACCATAAAGCCTGGTCTTGAACTGCATGTCATATTCTTTTCATAGCATATTGTTGTCTGTCTCCTGTGTAAACATGATATTCACATCTTTGACCCTGTGGTTTGCTGACATGCTGAAATTTGTTGGATCTTCTAACTGTTGAACACTCGCATTTCAAAGCTCAGGAGAACTTGTGTGTCTTCATAAGATATAAACGCCAACACTTACTAATAGATACCATTGAAGTGTCAGTATGAGGATCCATTCCTCTTTCTGAGATATCTGGCCCTGACACATGTGGCCTGTCAATCTCATTTCGTGCTAGTGAAAAAAAATCACTGGTTCCAGAATTCAACAGTACATCAGGACTGGGTTCTTTGTAAATTAGCTGTCAGTATAAAGAATAAACAAAGATCACGTGGCATTATTTTTTTAAACTTTAATAAGACTAAACGTGTAAAAATAGCTTGGACTTTTCCTGGATGTCTAAACATTTGAATAGTAAAAAAAATCGCAAATGTTCAAACTGTTTGCATATATTTACATAGACACTGATGCATGTGTTTATTTCACATGTGGTTTTTCGGTTAATCTATAGCAATTACCCTGCATGTTTCAGTCATGTGAGAAGAATCTGATGTGACTCTGAAATTAATGTGGACAGATTTATGCATTCATGCAGACCTGTTCTTTAGTCTTTTTTTTGTTTGTTTTGTTTTTAAAGTTATGCTTCTGAAATGAAATCTGTTAGCATGTCAGTTTCAAATGTTAGGTGTCTCAAAGGATGGATTTACATGAAATGGACATTTAATTTGTGTAACTGGTTGGATCTTTTCCTTCTAGGAAAATGTTTTGGCAATAAAAGTGATGATCATTGATGTAGAAATGTCTCTGGAAAAAAAAATTGGCATACAGGTCACAACTTCACAAGAATGTAATAAAGATATGTAATGTTGATAGTTACTAGTTAATTCTTTATTTAATTTTGCAGTGGGAAAGACATCATTGATTACCAGATTATATATATATATATATATATATATGATGTATTATTTGTAGTATAATATAATCTGACCTTTTGTGTGCCAAATATCTGATATATCTAAATAGAAGTGTGTGCTGGAATGTGTGTACATATTTGGTTATACTTTTGATAATTTGCTCACAAATATAGTGAAACCTATCAAAAACCCACTTGTGTTTTGAAGCCTTCATACATCAGCCAAAACAAAACCCACTTGTGTTTTGAAGCCTTCATACATCAGCCAAAACCGTAAATACCGGCTATGTTACTGCATGTAAAGTCTGGTCTTGAACTTCTTTTCACAGTATATTTTTGTCTGTCTCCTGTTTGAACATGATATTCACATGTTTGACTAACTATCTAACTATTGAACACTCAGGTTTCAAATGTTAGGAGAACTTGAGTGTGATTTAAAAACACCAGCACTGACTAATAGATACCACTTCATTTCTCGGTATGAAGATCCATTCTCCTTTCTGAGATATCTGGACCAAACACAGGTGGCCTGTCAATCTCTTTGAATTCGTGCTAGTGAAAAAATCACTGCTCCCAGAATTCAACAGTACGCCAGATGTAAATCAGTATACAGCATAAACAAAGATCATGTGGCATTATTTTTTTTTAAACTTTAGTTAGACTAGATGTGTAAAAATAGCTTTTTTGGATTTCTAAAAATTTGAGTAGTAAATAAACATTGCAAATATTCAAACTGTTTGCATATATTTGCATAGATACTGATGCATGTGTTCATGTCACATGCAGTTTTTCAATCTATTTTATCCTGTGTGTTTCATTCATGTGAGAAGATTCTGATGTGAATCTGAAATGAATGTGGACAGATTTATGCATTCATGCAGACATTTGCTTCAGTCAGTTTTTTTAAAGCTGTGATTTTGGAGTGAAATCTATTAGCATGACAACATCAAATATTAGGTGTCTCAAAGGATGGATACTCATGAAATAGACATTTAAATTGTGTCCCTGGATGGATCTTTTCCTTCTAGGAAAATTTATTGGCATTAAAAATGATGATCATTGATGCAGAAATGTCTCTGAATAAAAGTTGGCATACAGGTCACAGCTTCACGAGGATGTAATAAAGATATGTAATGTTTTGATAGTAACCAGTTAATTTTTCATTTGATTTTGCAGTGGGAAAGACATCTTTAATTACCAGATTTATGTATGACAGTTTCGATAATACCTACCAGGTGAGTGAATATTTTTCAGACTCATTCTGCAACTTTACACAATGTTCTGATGTTCTTTGAGTTGTTTGGATGTTTCTTATCAGATGCATGAAGTAGTGTATTTTGTCCTTAAAGTTTCGTTTCCTTGCTTTTAATTTTCAGGCCACAATAGGAATCGATTTCTTGTCGAAAACAATGTATCTTGAGGACAGAACAGTAAGTAAAATGGTTTTTTTTTGTTCTAACAGTAAATGCACATGCCTTTTAAATGTAAATGTAAAGTACATTTTAAATGTACTAAATGCATGAAAATATTAGTCTTGTATAATACTTTTACCAGTGTGTAAATGTCTGGGATGCTAAGTATTGATTGATGATGACTGAGGGATTTATGGTTTACATTGAACATTTTAAAGTCAGTTAACATTGATTTTAATCAAATTGCTATTTTTTTTATACTGTTGTAAAAACCATGCTGTTACATTGTGTTAATTTTCTTTAAATTATATTAGTATTATGATCATTTTAATTTATAAAACAAGAGTTGACCATGAACTTTGCTGCTGATATGGTGTTAAATAAATGATTAAATGAGTAAATAAATAAACAATGATTGTAATGCATTCTACTTTAAATCTAGTCTACTGTACTTGTAGTTAACTATTCCTATTATTATAGAAAATAATTTTAAATTGATTTGACGCATTAATGTTTGGTTCTTCTTATGACATATTTTAATTGCATTATGCATGAAATTAATTCTACATCACATTTTTCGCCTTGTGAAGCCCTTGTATTTTTATTTTCTTTGTTGAACATGAATTTGAACATTTATATTGTGATGTGTCTGTAAAAACCCAACATAAACTGCACCGTGAGAAACTCCTGTGCCTCTTTCCCCTGGTGTGTCTCTTATTTGTTTACATGTGTATGTTTCCTCCTGTAAAGAATTGTTCTTTTTGAGTGGGAAGGTTTTACTCTGAAGATCTGCAGTCTTGATAACATAACCCAACCCTAACCCATACTAACATGAGCCCATCCGAAGACTCACAACTTAACCCTTAACCTTAATCCATTCCCTAGCCCAACTTGAGAAGTCTTTTCAGTCCACTTTGCTTTTTCTTATTCCTTACATTTCATTCCACTCCTATTATTTTCCCTTTGAATGTTTCTTTTTCCCCCTTTTTTCCTTTATTCTCCTCCTTTTTCTTTTGTTTGTTTTCCATTCACACAGATCAGGCTGCAGCTTTGGGACACAGCGGGACAGGAGCGTTTCCGTAGCCGCTTCCGCAGTCTGATTCCCAGCTATATCCGGGACTCTACGGTTGCCGTGGTAGTCTATGACATCACAAGTGAGTGTGGATCCTCAGCCGGAGAACTTAAGGAAGAGGAAAGCTGTCTGTCATCTCAACGCACTCTCTTTTTCTCTTACACATCATTTGTTTTTGTGATTTAATTCTCTGTCTTCTTTTTATGACTTGTTTTTTGTTTTGCAATTGCAATTCAGTGTTAAAAACTGAGAACACATCTTTTTGTATATGTTTACATTTAAAGGTTAACAGATCTGTGTGTCACTTGTAACTGCTAATAAAAAAAATAAAAAGCAGCTATGTAATACCATTTTCATAAAGACAGAAATTATATCTTTTTCTAAAAAGAATAGATAGTACATTTTTGGCAGCTGTGGTCAGAAGTTAATTCTACACCCTCAGCACTCAACAGTAAGTTCCTACTAACATTTTCACTAGTCTATCCATTGTTTTTTAAACCATTCTTTTTAGCAATGCATTTTTATATTTGCTAAAAATATGTTTTGTTAAATGTGGTTTTCTTAAGTTTTTGTTCATCTAAAAAATATTTTAATTATTTATAAAAAAGAATATGCATTCATTCACCATTTTACAGACTGATGACATCTAGTTGATGTAGATGAGGGATGATTTGTCTTTTTCCGATTAACTCTTTCTGCAGACCAAGTTCCTGTGACAGATTCATGAGCACAGAGACACTTCCAGCTTTAGAACTTCCTCCTTTCTTTCCTCTTATTTTATCCTGGTGTTTTTTTTCTGTCTGTGAGTTGTCTCCCTGGTTATGATCCTGGGATTCCCCCTGATGATATTAACCCATTGTTTCTGAAATACCCCCGACAGATGTCAACTCGTTCCAGCAGACCACCAAATGGATCGATGATGTCAGAACGGAAAGGGGAAGTGATGTCATAATCATGCTGGTGGGAAACAAAACAGACCTTGCAGATAAAAGGTATGTTTAAATAGTTGCGTTTACAAACAATATGCCATGGTTTGTTACACTGCTATTAAATGGTGTTCAACCGGTATATTATTTTTTCAAATTAATACTTTTATTCAGCAAGGGTGCATTAAATTGATCAGAAGTTTCAGTAAAGACATTTAGAATGTTGCAAAAGATTTCTATTTCAAATAAATTACATTCCTTTTGAATTTATTCATTAGAGAATCCTAAACAAATGCATCATGGTTTCTGCAAAAATGTTGTTTTCAACATTGATAATAATAAATGTTTCTTGAACAGCAATTCAGCATATTAGAATGATTTCTGAATGATCATGTGACACTGAAGACTGGAGAAATTATGCTGAAAATTCAGCTTTGCTGTCGCAGGAATTAATTACATTTTGAAATATATCAATATGGAAAACAGTGATTTAAATTGTAATAATATTTCACAATATTACTGTTTTTACTCTATTTTTGATCAAATAATGTAGCATTGTTGAGAATAAGAGACTAATTTCAAAAACACAAAATCTTACAGACCCCAAACCTTTGGTTAAGATAATGTGTATGCACAAAATTGCTGAAATTAAATTGTATTTTATGCAATATTACATACAATTTACTAAAGTAACAGAAATGTATTTGACAAAAATGTTTTTTTTTTTTTTGAATGACCCAAAGTAATACTAATACTCTCTTAATCTGCTCAAAATAGCAAAATATCAGCAGTAGGGAAATATTAATTACATGTTTTTTGGGGATAATTTCAGGCAAGTTTCTATTGAGGAAGGGGAGAGGAAAGCCAAAGAACTGAATGTAATGTTTATTGAGACTAGTGCTAAAGCTGGATACAATGTCAAACAGGTGAGTGAGACTTGAGATTTCACTTGAATCAACAGTAGAAATATGTGCTTTGACAATTTGACACTCTGCATTAAATGATATATTAAAAACTGCTTTTATTCAAAAACAGCATTACTGTACATATGTCAAACAGGTGAGTGAGACTTGAGATTTCACTTGAATCAACAGTAGAAATATGTGCTTTGACAATTTGACACACTCTGCATTAAATGATATATTAAAAACTGTTTTTATTCAAAAACAGCATTACTGTACATTTCTCTCATATCAATGTCTTCAGAAGTCATCTTTATTCAGATGATTAAATATTCAACTTTTCTGAATGCAAACCATCTCAAATACACCCACACACTGCTTGTTTTTTTCCTGATCCTGGTGCGAGAGTTTAATAACAGGGCTTGTGTTTGTCTCGTCTAGCTTTTCCGGCGTGTAGCAGCAGCTCTTCCTGGTATGGAGAGCACACAAGACAAGAGCAGAGAGGACAGTATCCTACACAAATACAAATATATGCATATATTTACATATATAATTGGGCTTTTCACACTTGCAATTGCTTGTTTTAGTGCTTGATTGTCCATCTGTATGTGTTGCAGTGTAAACAGACTACAAAACATCGTGTTTTTCCTTAATTCTTTTTTCCTTCAGTGATCGACATAAAATTGGAAAAGCCGCCAGAGCAGCCGGTCAGCGAAGGCGGCTGTTCATGCTGAGGATTCAGTCGACATTTCTGTGCCGCGTCTCTTATTGTCACTCTTAGTCGCACTCACAGCATCTCTCAGGATATTCCGCAGAAGCTCCGCCCACCTGGAGGGAGTAGAACACTACTTGCCCGTCACCCACGTCCCCCCTGACCCACTCCGATGACTTTAAATTCAAAAGCACAATGTAGATGTGTGTGCTGTTGCTTTTCTATTGTTTCTGTTAATCGTACACCTTTTTTTTTGGTGTTTTTGTTTTTCACTCTCAAAACATTTTATAAAGTGTTGTTTTTGTCCATGTTCCATTTTATGTGAAATAATACTTATATTACTGTAATAATGATGTGAATAGGAACAAAACGATATAAATAAATGAAATTACAGAACTGATGTGAGAAGGATATCCAGATTTGAATACGCGAGGACTTGCATTTGATGAAATGTTTGCGAGTGTTTTTGGAAATATTCAAGTCTAGATTTCATCGTATGTGGCTACGAGACGTTACGTCTGTGACGTTGCTAATGTCTCTTCTTCATAAGGAAGAAAGGAAAGTGTAAAAACAAATGTTTTTTGAATTTGGGAGGAACAAGTGCTGCTTTTAGCTCAGTCGACTCAAGCATTGCGTCTTTTTTTTTTCCTCAGATGCCATTTCTTATTTTGAGCATTAGAAAGCCAATAGCTTAGTCAAAGAAAGAGAAATGCAGTTATTATAAAGAAATATTATGTATATTAAGGGAAGTATCAGATCCAGTTTAACGGATAATATGCAGACGTTGCCTTTGATGGTTTGTTTTATTGGGCTTCCACTGGTTTGTTTGTTTTTTATTAGCATTGTAAAGTTTGATTTATTGTAATGACACACTAGAAATGGTTTGTTTTGATTTGTTGAATCAACCGTGAACCCTAATATTTATTTGTAATGTATTTGTTTGTTTGATTTTTCATAATTTGTAGACTGAGACGTTTAGACATTCTGGCCCAAAGCACCTGCCACGTTTGTTTTTTGTTAAATGTACAGTGATGAGTTTGTCCCCAGACTGATCTAAACGTTTTTAAGATATAGTGCATTTTGTGTATTTTGTTTGGTTGTTTTCTTGAAACGGTCTCATACATTTCAAATGGATTTTAACCAGTTTCATCTGGCGACACTGCTTGACACCAATGCTCATTATTTGCACTGCTAAAATTGATCAGCATCTTGAGATGTCCCTAATAAAATCTTGTATTTAGCAACAGTGTTTTGTTTTTTTTATGGATAATGTATAACTTTGTTAATCAGGACATTAGTAGTTTTGATTGTAAACACGAAAAAATGAAATGCCATCTTATATGATTATATGTAATATCAGCATTTTATTTTAACCTAAGTTTTGTACAACAATATAATGTTTATAATAACTATACTTGCAAGGTAGCATAGTAGTGCATAAACAGGCCAAATGCAAATGCTACTCTGCCTGCCTCTACTGGTCAGTCATGAGAACTGATTTCATAATCCTGCCTTCATTATTGATGTATTTCTAAGGCTTGATCAATATATTCAGCTTTTGTTTGTTACTTCAGCATCATATTCTCTTGGAAGAAGATTTTTCAAGATCATCATATTTGAAGAGCATTCAGTGGTCTGATGATCACTCCCAAACCTCATGCAATGGAAAAGAATAAATTCAGGGCTTGAGTGTTTAGTGAGCTATTTATAAATAATGATAGGAGAACTTGTGTCTGAGAAAAATAGCATAATAATCGACAAAATCCTGAACTTGTTTGCAAAGCTTTACATGTACATTATACACAGAGCAGAATCATAGCAAAAGCAATCATTATTTAGCTGTGTGCAGAATTATGCCGTTTTATATATACTGTATATTGATATTCTACAGAAAAATCTGTTGCTAAATCCTGTCCTGATAAATTTGAGCAGCTAAAAGTGGACTGTTTTCTTTAGACTGTAAACAATGAAAAAATAATCCCTCCTTTGCACACTGATTGACCAGTTTAAATCAGCTGCAGCTCTTCTCATATTTACATATATGCAGGAACAAGATCATTTGCTATGGCTGAGGTTTATGGATGGCTCTTCCAGTCTGTTCTCTCACTCTTTCCAGTGATCATCCTGCTATCTGACCGGTCCTCAGCAGAACCAGAAGGGCATCCATAGAAGTGAACGCATCGCTGCACCTGCAGCCATTCCAGCCAGGAGGCCCAACGCAATCTGCTCTCTGAAACTGTCATCATAAGAGTCTCTGTGTACCCAGACATGCTGAGTCCCTGCAGGGAAGCACATCAGGATTAGAGGTACATCCCTGGTTAAATGTTTCTTTGTTTATGAAAAGATTCTACAGAGGGAACCAATAAGACCACTGAAAATCAAGCAGTTACAATTGAATTTCAAAGTGGCAATAAATTGTTACATTTAAAATGAAATATTTACATTTCAACACAATTTCTTAAAACAATAGTTCACCCAAAACTGAAAATTTGCTGACAATTTACTCACCCTCAGGACATCCAGGATGTAAATGAGTTTGTTTCTTCATCTGAACAGATTTGGAGAAATTTAGCATTGCGTTACTTGCTTACCAATGGATCCTCTGCAGTGAATGGGTGCCGTCAGAATGAGTCCAAACTGATAAGAACATCACATTAATCCACAAGTAATCCACATGACGCCTGTCCATCGATTAACATTTTGTGCATATTTCTCTTCTGATTCAGACAAGATGACTTTTTGACTGGAGAAAGCAAATTTACGGAGAGAGGACACATTTAGACGGAAGCAACGGTTTGAAGTTATGTTAATCTTAATGACAGATTTGTTTCTTACAAACATGTGGCTTTTCACTTCTGGTGACTGGAGTCGTGTGGATTATTGTGATGTTTTTATCAGCTGTTTGGAGTGGACTGTCATTGGATCCATTCACTTCAAAGGATCCATTGGTGAGCAAGTGATATAATGCTAAATTTCTTTAAGTCTGTTTTGATGAAGAAACAAACTCATCTACATATTGTATGACCTGAGGGTAAGAACATTTTCAGGAAATGTACAATTTTAGGTGAACTATTCCTTTCATTTTCTTTTTTTTTAGTAGCTGTAAAATGTGTTCCCTTTCTGTGTGCTTTCTACAGAATGAATGATGTGTTTGTATAATTACCTCCACTACCTGTACTTGGCATGATGTAAACCGCATTATGACTGTTAATTGGAATGGTCTGGTATGTATCGTCATAAGGATTGTATGTGAGAACCTATGAGAGTGAAAAGAAATGTAAATCGAGTAAAATATTAAATAAATTACAAATTAATAAACAGAGAAAACCATTCTGCATGCCAAGGAAAACACTCACAGGATTTCTTTTTGCCTTCATGAGTGTGAGTTTCCAGGCCTTGAAAAGTGACAGAAGGGAAATAAATTTGAGAGGAAAGTGAGTGAGGCTTCATATGTTAAGTAAAATGTCAAAGGTCAAGACTTACAGTGCTTCATCTTCACTGTTGGCACACAGGATCAGCATGTTACCATCCCTCAGGAAAACAACCAGCAGATTCTCTCGGGGGTGACTCTCAGGTGGACATACATCTGCTCACAAAGACACTATCTGTTAAAACAGTGTTCAAGTATTTTCATACCATGCACATGCACTTTCTACATGACCAAATACAATTGAAAGGTTGAAAAAGTTTCTTCCTACTTGGACACTCCAGTCCAGATTTCACATTCACACAGGTGGCCTTCAGATTCACTTTGGCCTCATAGTCTCTTCTGGATTCAGTTTTGTAAAAAACAAAGCTCCCATCTATCCACAGGTCACACCAGTTCAGCTTCCAGCGTTTGAGGACTGAAGCTGTGAATAAAAAATAATAAAATAATAATAAAAATCAATATTATTATTATCTGTCTCCATTTCCATAGTCTTTTTTAAAGATTTATTTTGGCGTTTTTTTGCCTTTATTACGATAGGGGTGGGGTCGGGAAAGGTCCACGAGTCGGGATTCGAATTCCAGCGAACAGAATCTTTTGATTACGTTCAGATTCGTTCATTGACTTATTCAAAAGTAGCTACAGTAGCTTCTGTATGCTACAGCATTAAGGTGAAACAGCATATTACGAGTATTAGGAATGAAACACTGAATCACTCAATCAACATATCCGTTCAATACCACTGAGTCGTTTATTAGTTTATTAGTCATAGTTTATTCCTTTCAGAGGTATGCGGCTTCCACCACATTTAGCAGCATTGTCAACTCAGACTTCCCGAAGACACAGACTGTGTGTGCGCTAACGAAGAATAGACCTATATTTATTGGTCACTTGTTATCAGTGTTGGGGAAAGTTACTTTTAAAAGTAATGCATTACAATATCGCGTTACTCCATAAAAAAGTAACTAAGTACGTTACTTAGTTACTTGTTATGGAAAGTAATTATTTACGTTACTTTTGCGTTACTTTTAAAATCTGGACAGGGCTTGCTTGTTTGTTTTTAAAATAAAAAAAGTTATATTTTTGGCAAATATAAAAGCCTTTTCACACCAAAAGTGAAATGAATAAGCCTCATTCTGAAGGGAAAGTAAATTTACGTCCGTACAGTAGAATGCAGAAGAAGACATTTCAACACACTTCAGCAATAAAAAAAAAACACACAAATGTTTGTCTAATTTTTGCTTATTAGTATGGTTGAACTGCATCATCGAAGGTCAGAAGCAAAGACATTGGTTAATAGAATGGGATTAAATACATAAAGGATATTTGTGTTGTTTAACATTTAATCATTGCAGGTTTGCGTCATATTGTGAGTTGCATTATTTTTATTAATTTTGAGGAATACTGAATCTGTGTTTTTTTTTGTGAGTGAGATGAATTAATGCATATTCATATTTATTTTAGAACTATAGTAACATCTGATTTCTCTCAACATGGGGACAGGAGAGCTGTCAATCAATAAATTGGAAAAAAAAGTAACTTGCGTTACTTATTTGAAAAGTAACTCAGATATTCTCTTGTAAATTAAAAAGTAATGCGTTGCTTTACTAGTTACATGAAAAAAGTAATCTGATTACGCAACTCGCGTTACTTGTAATGCGTTACCCCCAACACTGCTTGTCATTTATCCTATCAATAATAATATTCCACTGTTTATTTTAAGAATGGAGAAAATTAGCTAGGAATCGTCTCCTGGAGTCGACTCCATTGATTCCGAATTCTATTCCAAACGTTCAAAAATCGAACAACCATCTTATTTGCAAGGCATGGAGTTATTTTGTGGAGAGGATTTAATGTTCAAATAGTTTTTTTACATGTAATCCCATCGGCATCGATTTATAATTTTTTAAATGAATGTGTTGTTTGGAGTCTCTCTAGGTGAGCATAAAACAACCTGGAGTCCATAACTAAAAGCTATACTGTACTGTAGGCTACTGTAACACTGACCGTAAGAGGATTACTGCAAACAGTGTCAGGCCCTGAGTTTCATGACAAACCTTCTGGAAAAGTCTTTGTAATAATAATAATACATAATATATAATAATATTTTATCTATTT